AAATTAGGGCACTGTCTAGTAGATTGCTTCCTAATTTGGTATCCTTTCAAATTTAGAAGGAACTATAGTCACCAAAACAACTTTAACTTAATTAAGCAATTTTGGTGTACAGACTATGCCCCTGCAGTCTCACTGTTAAATTATCTACCATTAAGGAGTTAAATCACTTTGTTTATACAACCTTAGGTACACCTCCTTGCATGTGACTTGCACAGCCTTCCTAAACACTCCTATAAAGAGCCATATAATGTTTACACTTAATATATTGCAAATGCTGTTAATTTAAAATTTCTTATATCCTGTTAATAGCTTGCTAGACATTGCAGAAACCTCCTTTATGTAATTAAAGTTCAATGTATAGAGCAGGAGATAAGAACTTTTAAAGTAAGCAAATCGGATTGAAAATGAAACCATTTTGCTTTCACGCAGGCTGTGTAAGTCACAGTCATGGGAGGTTTGGTTAGGGCTATTTAAACAGAAACAAAGGTGATTTGACTCATGACAGTAGAACATTAAGCATTTAATTACGCTAAAGTTGTGTTGGTGACTATAGTGTCCCTTTAAGTATATGACACATATGTGACCTTTAGTCTCTTGGTTTATTGTTTCATAGAAACATAGAATGTGATGGCAGATAAGAACCATTCGGCCCATCTAGTCTGCCCAATTTTCTAAATACTTTCATTAGTCCCTAGCCTTATTTTATAGTTAGGATACCCTTATGCCTATCCCACACATGCTTAAACTCCTTTACTGTGTTAACCTCTACCACTTCAGCTGGAAGGTTATTCCATGCATCCACTACCCTCTCAGTAAAGTAATACTTCCTGATATTATTTTTAAACCTTTGTCCCTCTAATTTAAGACTATGTCTTCTTGTTGTGGTAGTTTTTCTTCTTTTAAATATAGTTATACTTATATAATATAGTTATACTTACTATATACTTTGTTGTTAATAATTTTCTATACTGCATGCATGCTATTGTAATATATCCCCTCTCTCTGTCTGTCTGTCTATCTTTATAATCTGTCAAGGGACAGGAAATAGTTCCAGTTTACAAATTAAGATTGCCACTATCTTCTTTTATTTTTTTTTAACATTGTTCTGCGTTTATCTTCTAGCATCAGAATGCAAACCATGCTCAGGATTCTCTCCCATTCCTGACTCTCGAAGTGTAACCTCAGAGGCTGAACAAAACCCTGGAGCAATATTTAATATGGCAGAAGAAAAGGTAAGGGGAACTATTTTCTACCAACCTAGTCTCAGCACCTTTTATCATGAGTAAGGGGAATAAAAAAAATATTGTCCCATCCAATTTCCCAAAGAAATCACATTTTCCGAATTAAAAAAAGGTTATACAATGCTATCTTGGCAGTTTAATCTGATGTGTACTTATATATATAACAAGATTATGTACTAAAAGGGAATTGTTGGGAAATGATCTGGAAAATAAAAAACTGAAAAGGACAATCCAGGCAGCTAAACAAGTTAAGCTTAAATTAAAGCTAAATAACTCAAATACCTGTAGTTAGTTTTTATATTTTATGTAGTGTACTGCACCACATACAGGGCCGGACTGGCCCACCGGGTTACCGGGAAATTTCCCGGTGGGCCGTCGGCACCTGGGGCTGGGCAGGCAGCTGGCTCTTGTGGCCGCAGAGGGAGCTTCCCCTCCCCAGCACGCCACTTAATGAGACCGGGGCCGGAATATGACGTCATATTCCTGCCCCGGTCTCATTAAGCAGTGCGCTGGGGAGGGGGAGCAGAGACAGAACAGCCAGCTCCCCCTGCGGCCGCCAAAAGAGCTCCCTCTGCGGTCGCAAGAGCCAGCTCCCCCATGCAGCCGCCATCAGTGCTCCCCATGCCAGCACACAGGTAGCAATTATGTGTGTCAGTGTGAGTGTATGTGTGTGTGTGTCTGTGTCATTTGTGTGTGTGTCTGTCTGTGTCATGGTGTGTGTCTGTCTCTGTCGTGTTGTGTGCGTCTGTTTCATGGTGTGTGTGTGTGTCTCTGTCTGTGTCATGGTGTGTGTGTGTGTCGGTCTCTGTCATGGTGTGTGTGTCTCTGTCTGTCATGGTGTGTGCATCTGTCTGTGTCATGCAATGTGTGTCTGTTTCATTGTGTGTGTGTGTCTGTCATGTAATGTGTGTCTGTCTGTGTCATGGTGTGTGTGTGTCATGGTGTGTGTGTGTCTGTATGTCATGGTGTGTGTGTGTCTGTCTGTGTCATGTAATGTGTGCCTGCCTGTGTCACGGTGTGTGTGTCTGTGTCACGGTCTCTTTGTGTCGTGGTGTGTGTGTGTCTGTGTGTCATGGTGTGTGTGTCTGTCTCACGGTGGGTCTGTGTCACAGTCTGTCTGTGTTATGGTGTGTGTGTGTGTCAAGGTGTGTGTGTCTTTTTTAAGGTGTGTGTCTGTCATGGTATGTGTGTGTCTCTGTCATGGTGTGTCTGTGTTTCTGTCTGTGTCACGGTGTGTGTGTGTCTGTGTCACGGTCTCTCTGTGTCATGGTGTGTGTCTGTCATGGTATGTCTGTGTGTGTGTGTATGTGTGTTTTTACTCACCTTTTTTTTTCCCTACGTTGTGCTGGTCTCCCCTCGACTGGCCCTGCCTCTATGGCTGAGATCATCAAGCTTGATGATCTCAGCCAATCCGCACTGTCACTAGGAAGCAATGTAAACACTGCCTTTTCTCTAAAAAGTCAGTGTTTACATTGAAAAGCCTGCAGGGGCAGGCTATAGACACCAGAGCCACTACATTAAGCTGTGTGTGTGTGTGCGCGCCTGCTAGTGAGTGGCTTGCTTGCTTGTGTGTGTGTGCCTGCTACTGAATGAGCTTCTGTTTTTTATGTCAATTACCTTATGTATATCAGTGAGATTGTTTGTCTATGAGGCTGTGTATCAATCAGCTTGTGTCAGTGAGATTGTCTGTGTCTGCATGTGAGTATGCTTACTGTATAATTAAAAGTTTTACTCTGAAAGGACCAATATTTTATATTGGAAAAAGCAATATATATATATATATATATATATATATATATATATATATATAATCATCTAGGGTGGCAAGACATAGCCTTACATATTACATGCGACAATATATGGTGCAATGACTTATGGGGCTGGCATAGATTTTTTTTTCCAGGGCTGCTTTGGAATCCCCAGTCTGGCCCTGACCACAGAGACATGGCTAGAGCTAAGCACAGTATGTGTAACATAGTATTTGTTCCCCGTTTGTCTTCACTTCTCTTTTCAATGGTTTATTTTTATTTCTAGCTTTGATGTAGCCTTATTCTGTTTTCCTTCCCTTCCTCCTTTCTTTGATATTTCCCTCCTGTACCCAGCAACCCCATATGTGCTTCGCTCCCCCTTGTAATAAATCCCCCTCCAGCACGTAAGCCAACCTAATTACCCCCCTCCACCTCCAGCCCCTCACAGTCAACCTAACTACCCACTATTAACCTCTTCACCCCCAGCCCATGTCAGCCAACCTCTCTACCCAATATTAACCCTTTCCCTTTGAGGCCCTGTTAATCAACCTCCCTACCCACTGTTAACCCCTTCCCCTCCAGACCCTGCCAGTCAACCTCACTACCCACTGTTAACCCTTTCCCTGGAAGTCCCTGCTACCTGCCCATCCCTCTGGTAACCCTTTCCCTGCCAGTCCCTGTTATCCTCTGGTAACTTCTTACCTGCCATTCCCTGCTATCCGCCCATCACTCTGGAAAACCCCTTCCCTGACAGTCCCTGTTATCCTCCCATCTCTCTGGAAAAAAACCCTCCCTGTCATTCTCTGTTATCCACCCATCCCTCTGGTAACATCTTACTTGCCAGTCCCTATTATCCCCCCATCTCTCTGGTTACCCCTTCCCTCCTAGTCTATTTTATCCACACATACCTCTGGTAACCCCTTACCTGCCATTCTTTGCTATCTGCCCATCCCTCTGGTAACCCCTTCCCTGCCAGTCCCTGTTATCCACACATACCTCTGGTAAACCCTTCCCTGCCATTCTCTGCTATCCGCCCATCCCTCTGGTAACCCCTTCCGTACCAGTCCCTTTTATTCGTCTATCCCACTGGTAATATCTTCCCTGAAAGAAGAAAAGTAATAGAGGAGAGTGAGCAACTAGGGAAAATCCTCCTAGATGGGGGGGTAACCCCTGTTGGAACAACAAATGAAAAGAGAAAAACAGGAGGATTCCTAAATATGTGTGATAATTTGTGTGAATATGGTATAGTCAGAATAAGATACAGAGATTGTCACTTAGACTAGCAAGAGATACTGGTATGTAACTAAAACATAACTTTTAGTACATAACACTAATAAAAGGGGGTGGTATAATCCCACCTGGTGACTTGAACAAAGGATATGTGCGACAATACATAGTTACATAGTTACATAGTTACATAGTTACATAGCTGAAAAGAGACTTGCGTCCATCAAGTTCAGCCTTCCTCACATTTGTTTTTTGCTGTTGATCCAAAAGAAGGCAAAAAAACCCAGTTTGAAGCACAATTTTGCAACAAGCTAGGAAAAAAATTCCTTCTTGACCCCAGAATGGCAGTCAGATTTATCCTTGGATCAAGCAGTTATTACCCTACATTGAAAGATTATATCCTTGAATATTCTGTTCTTGCAAGTATGCATCTAGTAGCCGTTTGAACATCTGTATGGACTCTGATAAAACCACTTCCTCAGGCAGAGAATTCCACATCCTGATTGTTCTTACAGTAAAAAAACCTTTCCTTTGCCTTAGGCGAAATCTTCTTTCTTCCAGTCTAAACGCATGGCCTCGTGTCCTATGTAAAGTCCGGTTTGTGAATAGATTTCCACACAATGGTTTGTATTGGCCCCGAATATATTTGTATAATGTTATCATATCCCCTCTCAGGCGACGTTTTTCTAAACTAAATAGGTTTAAATTTGTTAACCTTTCTTCATAGCTGATATGTTCCATTCCTTTTATTAATTTTGTAGCCCGCCTCTGCACTTTTTCTAGTGCCATAATATCCTTCTTTAGAACAGGTGCCCAAAATTGCACAGCATATTCAATATGGGGTCTTACCAGTGATTTATAAAGAGGCAAAATTATATTCTTGTCCCGAGAATGAATGCCCTTTTTCATGCATGACAATACCTTACTGGCCTTGGCCACTGCTGATTGACATTGCACATTGTTGCATAGTTTGTTGTCTATAACAATTCCCAAGTCCTTTTCATGTGTTGTTATCCCTAATTCGCTTCCATTAAAGGTATACGTTGCTTGTGTATTCTTTACGCCGAAGTGCATAACTTTGCATTTTTCAACATTAAATTTCATCTGCCATTTGAGTGCCCAGTCTCCCAGTCTATCTAAGTCCCTCTGCAGCAAAGTAATATCTTGCTCACATTGTATTGTTTTACAAAGTTTTGTGTCATCTGCAAACACTGAAACATGACTTTCAATGCGGTCTTTAAGATCATTTATAAACATGTTAAATAGAAGGGGTCCCAGAACAGACCCCTGAGGGACACCACTTGCAACCTCTGTCCAGCTTGAAAATTTACCATTAATGACAACTCTTTGTACTCTGTTTTTAAGCCAATGTTCTACCCAAGAACAAGCATTTTCATCTAGACCGATTTCCTTGAGTTTGAACACTAATCTATTGTGTGGAACTGTATCAAATGCCTTGACAAAATCCAAAAAGATCACATCCATGGCAACACCCTGATCTATACTTCTACTTACTTCTTCGTAGAACGCAATCAAGTTAGTTTGACATGACCTGTGCTTCATAAAACCATGCTGATTTTTGCTGATAACCATGTTCTTCTCAAAGAATTCTTGAATATTATCCCTTAATAAACTTTCAAATATTTTACCAGCCACAGAAGTTAAGCTCACAGGTCTATAATTTCCAGGCAAGGATTTTGAACCCTTTTTGAATATAGGAACCACATCTGCCTTCCTCCAATCCTCCGGAACACTTCCTGAAAGAAAAGAATCTTGAAAGATTAAAAACACAGGTTCACTTATTTCTGCACTTAGTTCCTTAAGTACACGTGGATGGATACCGTCAGGCCCTGGAGCTTTGTTTATATTAACTTTCTTTAGTTGCTGCAGCACCTTGTCTTGAGTTAACCAATTACAATTATTCTGCAAGTTTTTAGTAGCAATCATTTGCACATCTATTGCCATGGGTTCTTCCTTAATATATACGGAGGAGAAATAGTTATTTAAAATTCCTGCCTTTTCCTGGTCTTCATTAATTAACACCCCGTTTCAGTTTTTAGTGTACCTACACTTTCATTTTGTTTTTTTTTAGAATTTATGTACTTAAAAAATGCTTTGGGGTTGGTTTTGCTCTCTTCAGCTATCGTTATTTCATTTTGAAGTTTAGCAAGTCTAATTGCCTTTTTGCACGCATTATTTGCATCCTTATATCTTTTATAAGATGCATCTGATTTGTCCGATTTAAATGCTTTAAATGCCCTTCTCTTAGTTGTAATCTCTTGTTTTACTTCTCTACTAAGCCATGTTGGTTTTAATTTGTTTCTTTTATATTTATTTCCCAATGGTACATACTGAGAAATGTACCTTTGTAATATTTGTTGGAAGATGATCCATTTATCCTCAGTGTTCTTTTCACTAAAGAGTTTATGTCAGTCAATATATTGTAAAGCTTCCCTTAACTTATTGAAGTTGGCCTTTTTAAAATTATATGTTTTAGTATTCCCCATGTGCTTTTGTTTTTTTGAGTTTATTTCAAAGGACACTATATTGTGATCACTATTTCCCAAGTGCTCACCTACTTGAATGTTGGTCAAAAGATCAACGTTGTTTGTTAAAACCAGGTCCAGACAAGCATCCATTCTAGTTGGTGCTTGTACAAGTTGTGACATGAAGGTGTCATTTAACAAGTTTAAAAACCTAATTCCCTTTGCTGAGGCACTAGTCCCTCTGTCCCAATTTATATCCGGGTAATTAAAATCTCCAATAATTAAAGTGTTACCCAGATTTGCAGCTTTCTCAATTTGCTCAAACAGCTGTTGTTCCTCGTCAATATTAACATTAGGTGGTTTATAACATATCCCAACCAATAGTTGGTTTCCCTTCTTTTCCCCCAAGCAGATATTTACCCATAAAGCTTCCACATTATCCTCCTTGCATTCCATTTGCTTAACATTTGGCTTTAAATCATGTTTGACATACAAACATACCCCACCACCCTTCTTGTTTTTCCTATCCTTCCTAAATAACATGTACCCATTTAAGTTAGCTGCCCAGTCATGTGTCTCATCCCACCATGTTTCAGTTATGCCTATTATATCATATTGTTTAGTGTATGCTAATGCCTCTAGTTCCCCCATTTTGTTATTTAGGCTCCTTGCATTAATAAGCATACATTTAATATTATGCATCACTTGTATATTTTGTGAATTTTCAACATTACACAGCTTCTCTGTTCTGAGCTTGCCCCTCCCCCTGTTTCCACCCCCCTTATACTGTGCTAAAGCCCATCTCCTTTCTGTCCTATCTCCATTTTGTAGATTGCTATGACCCTCCCCCCCTACTACTAGTTTAAAATCTCCTCCAACCTTCTAGCCATCCTATCCCCAGCACTGCAGACCCTCTCCCGTTTAGGTGCAATCCATCACCACTATAAAGGTTGTACCCAATCGCAAAGTCGGCCCAGTGCTCTAAAAACCCAAAACCCTCCTTCCTGCACCAAGACTTAAGCCACGCATTGACATCTCTAATCTCCCGCTGCCTTTCCACTGTAGCGCGTGGCACAGCATCTTTACCTCCACGATCGTCTGAGACCAGCCGACCGAACAGCTGCTGCAACAATCGGTTTGCATAACCAAAGAATTTCTGCACATACTGTCAGAAACCATTTCAGAAAAGCTCATCTGCATGCTTGTCGTCCTCATCGGGGTTTGACCTGACTGCAGTTCGTTGTCGTAATTAACTTGAGTGGGCAAATGCTCACATTCGCAGGCGACTGGCACTTTGGAGAGGTGTTCTCTTCACGGACCCTCCCGGACCCCCTCATTTCAGTAAAACTGCACATTTTTATAGTTGCCTTTTGTTGTGGCCAGCCTAATGCACACCTTTGCAATAATCATGCTGTCTAATCAGCATCTTCATATGCCACACCAGTGAGGCGGATGGATTATCTCAGCAAAGAAGAAGAGCTCACTAACACAGATTTAGACAGATTTGTGAACACTATTTGAGAGAAATAGGCCTTTTGTATACATAGAAAAAGTCTTAGATCTTTGAGTTCATCTCATAAAAATTGGGGGCAAAAAACAAAAGTGTTGCATTTATAATTTTGTTCAGTGTATTTTGCCATGAAGTTCAAATTCAAAAATTCACCCAGTTTGCCCAAGTTCAGATGAATTGTAGTTTGGAACTAAACAAATTTCTAAATTTGCTGTGCACACCTCGGGACCCTTAGCAGGAACTGTATTGTATAAAGTCAACTTGCATAAGACAACTTTGTTAGGGATTAGACCATATCTAATTACTGAACCTCACAACTATCTAACTTCTCTAACTTTTTGCAGAAAGGAAAGGAAGATTACAAAAAAAAACACTTGTGCCATAAAGTCATGAATATTGCCACTTCTCAGTCATGCCCTAACAAACATGTCCTGGAATCAGCAAAGCAGAAGATGGCATCCCAAACATTCAAGCCTTTATTGCTCAGTTTAATGCCTGTTTTCTATGCATTTCTTGGCAAATCAGTGAATTTTGGTGGATTTCAGGAGCTACTTTACCAGTGATAGGAAATCTAACTTTCATTCATAGAGATCTTCTTCTTTTAGTTTTTTTCCGCTCAAGCTATTTCTTGTTTGAGAAATTGGAAACCATTGAATAATTAAACACATTAATGCATTAGCAAGCCGTCCGTGTGTGCGGGATGACGGTTTCCAACAAATCTGTAGAGTGTTGATGCCTGCTCTCTGATGCTCTGTAATTACATGTACGCTGAACGAAAATCAGCGATGTGGCATTCAGCTGGAAAAATGGATTCCATCTCATTCTTCTGGCTACTGAGTGTTGTCACGCTGACTTCACACAGTAACGAGACACAGCATCAATTAAGGCAGCATTAGTCAAAGACACTGTTAAGGAATTTCTCAGGCAGACTTTTAACTAGCTCTGGGTGTTAGCTGGGTGAGAAGACACTGTTCTAACACTTAACCTTTTGAGTACCATAGATCTCCCCAATAGACATCCAATAATGCATTGAAGAGATGATGTATACTCTGCAGAGAACTAAATTTAAAGAGCAATTGCTTATATATATAGAAAGAGAGAGGATTATCTACTAAATTGAAAATTCAAGGTACATACAAAGTGAATTTAAAATTTAAGGTCAAAATAGTTTAACTGAAAAATTATTTGTCAGCTATGTCTTTCTGTTCAGCTAATCTAGCCTTAAATTTGAAATTCACTTTGTATATTCTTTGAAATCTCACTTTAGTAAATAACTGTGATAGTGTAATAAGGAAAGCTCTCATAACCACTGATGCCTCATTTACACACCGAGAGATTCTGCAATTTGAGCACAAATAGTCTTACTATGGATTACTGTTTGTGCCACTGGGAGAGATTTATTATCTGACGAGTAAAAAACTGTGTAAGCATTAATTCCATCACATATGAAACATGGGTGGAAAAGTGAGGACATTAATGTAGGTCATAACAGCAACTTTGTTTAAAGATTAAGGGATACCTAAATTAAAATTAACATTATTTACATTTAAGTACTTAATCCCTTAAAGACAGAGCTTCAGAAGCTTGTCTTTCACTTAATGACATCATTTTTTAAATTTTTTGCTGTTTGCGTTCAACTGCAATTTGCATTTTACTAATTTATTGCACCGACACATATTATATATAGTGATGTCCCGAACCGTTTGCGAATTTCCAGCGAACGGCTCGCCACGGTTCGCCACGAGCTCCGGTCAGCTGACACATCCCGGACAATCTCCAGCAGACCCTCCCTCCCAGACCCTCCCACCTCCTGGACAGCATCCATGTTGAAGCTGCCTTCAACATGGATGCTGTCCAGGAGGTGGGAGGGTCTGGGAGAGAGGGTCTGCTGGAGATTGGCCGGGATGTGTCAGCTGACTGGAGCTCGCCACGAATGGTTCGTGGCGAACCGCGGCAAGCCGTTGGCGGGAAGTTCGCGAACGGTTCGCGACATCACTGATTATATATCGTTTTTTAAAGGACAGAAATGGCTTTAATTTGATGTAACATGCATATATATAAATGCTTATGTATTATAAAAAAAATACAGAAAAATGCCAAAAAAAATATTTTTTGTGTGTGTTTTTTTACAGTTTTTGCAATAATAATGTGTGCATAATTAGTGCAGGTTAAGGAAAGTAATTAAAAATAAATTCATTTAGTTGTTCTGATTTACAGAATATATAATGTGTCTGGGATTTTAAGTTTTTTTTTGGTAGTTACAGGTCACAAAGCACAAGGAGTAAAATAAACTTTTTAATGTGGAGCG